AAAATATATAATACAAGTCAATATCTAGTAACTAAATAAGTTAACAGTAGATAGCAAAAAATTTCTTCATGCTAATATAGAAGATATACTATACAATAATCTAGTATTTAATAATAAAATAATAGGCAATAACAGAATTAAATATATACTAAAACAACAAAAAATTATAGAAACTATGATCAATAACAGAGAGATCACTAACTACTTATAGAATATCTACTAATTACTAAATACATACAAATCACTTACTATTCAATTTATTATGATACAACATACTATTAACTGCATACAAAGTGAAGTAATTATATGCAAAATATATCTACTAAAAAACTAACTACTAATCAAAACTCTAAATTAGCTTTTGACTACTAAAATCTAATAATAGTACTCATATATATAGCTTTAATAGCTGTAGAAAAAACAAACTTCAAATTAGTACTAACTAAATATATTTTCAACAATTAGCAGAAAAAGTTTTTCTACTATCTACTGCTAACTTTTTTCAAATCTACTAAATGAACAACTAGCTAAGCTGGTTAACTTGAAAAACTATAATCATACAAAAAGAACTTTAATATACCTTTAACTACAATAACTCAAATAATAAATACAAATACAAATATACTAAATCAAAAATTATACAAATCTAATATTAATTACAATTATATATACTTTAATACTCTCTATTCTATTTGGCAACAGGTTCCAATTGAATATAACTTATACAGGTTTATTCGATACCTCCAAAATATATATCAGATAGTATAATAGTATTCACAAATACACATATAATATTAGAATATACTGAAACCTAATACTAACTACAGAACTAGACAATATTCTACAAATACATAAACTACAAGTATGTGTCTATACAAAGAAAGACAAATTTCAAATACTCAAAGCTAAAGATCTTTAAACTCAAATTACTCCTAGAAGAACTCTCAACACTAGAGGTACTCAATGAATATAATACTAAGAAATATCTAAATCTACTTTGCTTCAGATATAAAGAAATTACTAAAAGAACTATCATCTATTAACATATAAAGAAAACAATATAAGTATTAGATGTATTATCACAGAAACAGTAAGCAAAGCTCTAATATTATATGAAGTACATGAACAAAATATCTGATAACAAACTATTACAACAATTATCAAATATATTGCTAACAGAATCTAGAAAACAATACTATGAGAATTACTTTTAAACTACTCCTAATATAATATACACTTCAAATTAACAAACTAGCAAAGAAAGATAAAGACAATTCTAGCCTTATAATGACTATTCTCCACAAGATCTTTAGTAGAATTTACAAAGAAATATAGTTAATATAATGTCAACAAAAAGCTACTACTGAAATAGATATAATAGATCATGAGATATCTTATCAAACTTTATCTAGATCTATTACAAAATCTCATAACTTAATAGTAATTGATCAAAACTAAACTTCAAACTTATGAAATAGTACTCTTTATTCTCTTAATATAATACATCACCTAACTATATAAATATAATCATAGACTAAGCGAAGCCTTTGACCTTCCTTAGCAAAGTTTAGGTCATAGGTAAATTAGCCTAAGTCTTAATTTTTATAAATAGATAGTATATACTATATTGTAAGCATATTATAATGTATCTATATATTAAAATCAATAAAGAAATTGAGACAAGATCTCACTTTAAAAAAAAAAAAAAAAAAAAAAAAATATATATATATATATATATATATATATATATTATTATTATTACATATTTATAGTATTACATATATTTGATTATAATCTTTATTGCTTAAATCATTTCATTACGCAAACAATTAAATTAAATAAAATTACATTAAATTAAATAAAATTATGACACTAAATAAAGTTATAATATTAAATAAAGTTACGACACTAAATAAAGTTATGAAATTAATTAAATATTGTGATATAATGGAATTATACAGCTTTTGCCGTAACCGTAACTGTAACTAGCCATATGTCATAAAACTCATTGGGACGATTCTACTGCATCACTAATTGTTAGATTAGTCAGATTAGTCAGAGTGAAATAGTGATAGCGCAAAAAGTTGGCGGTTCCGTGATTTTTATTCATAAGATCAGTATGTAACATACAAAATGAGAAGTAAAAAAAATAAAATAAAGGCAAAAAAAAAACCAAAAATCACAAAAAACCATAAATCCGCAAAGACAATTAGTTAAGAAATTTTCAGCACAAAAATTTAGACGAAATTAGGTTATCATTACTGTTGAATAGTCACGGGACCGCTAAATTTTTGCGCTATCACTATTTCACTTGATTAGTCAGGTTGGTATGCGTAACAGATCACTTGACCGATTTGATTGATCTGATCGATAGTCAAATTTGTTTGTATAACCAAATTATTTGACCAATTTGACTAGCATTAAGATATTTAGACCAAAGTCTGGTCACTGATCATATTGGTCTGATCAAACGATCAAATTGGTCTAGTCAAGCCAACTCTGGTATTGACATTAATTCGATATGTGCCATATTACCCCTCCCCCCTCCAAATATGAAAAAATAGCATTTTTTGAGTAAAGTTTGAAAGGTCATATTTCTAATTTTTTTTTTGAAAATGTCAATTTTTTTTTTATTGAAGATAGTTAATTCGATGAATTATACGTGATTTCTTGACAATGTTCTGATCAAAATTCAATGAATTTTTTTTTTATTTTGAATTTTATGAATCTATTGAATTCAAATAAAAAAAAATTCATTGAATTTGATCAGGTGGTTGCTAGATATCATCGCTCAAAGTTTTTTTTTTTAAATGTCAAAAATAGAAGCTGCGCCAAATTTTTCTAAAGTTTGAGCAAAGATTTCAGCAGCCATCTGATCAAATTTGATAAAATTTTTTTATTCGAATTCTATAGATCCACAGAATTCAAATAAAAAAATTTTTATCAAAATCAAAGTTACACTAAATTTTCCCTAAAACTTCAGCAAAGATATCTCAACAACTATCTGAGAAATTTTTCATAGAATTCAAATAAAAAAAAAAAATTCGGGTAGTTGCTAAGATATATTTGCTAGGAAACATTTGGCGCAGTTTCAATTTTGATTGACGTTTTGATATTTTTAATAAACTTTGAGCGAATATATCTCAGAAACCACCTGATTAAATTCGATGATTTTTTTTTTATTTGAGTTCTATGAATTCATAGAATTCAAATAAAATTTTATCAAATTTAGTCAGATAGTTGTTGAGATATCTTTGCTCAAGCTTAGGGGAAATTTAGTATAGCTTTGATTTTTGATGTTATTTTTAGCGGTAAAATTTTTTTTATTTGAATTCTGTGGATCTATAGAATTCGAATAAAAAAAGTTTTATTGAATATAATCAGATGGTTGCTGAAATGTCTTCACCCAAACTTTAGGAAAATTTAACGTAGCTTCTATTTGACATTTTAAAAAAAAACTTTGAGCGATGATATCTCAGCAACTACCTGATCAAATTCAATGAATTTTTTTTTACTTGAATCCAATAGATTCATAAAATTCAAATAAAAAAATTTTATCATCGAAAAATCACGTACAATCACGTACAATCGACAATCGAGCATGCAGTGATCTACAAATTTGATCAAGCTAATTTTTAATACGAATGTATTGTTGTACAAATGAATATCACTTTTCAATAGAATTTATTATATGAAAGTGATAGATTTTGAAAACTAAATCCTCTTAAGGTATTAATTCTTTGAACTTAAGAATACCATAAAACAGATTAAAAAAGCAAACTTTTTAATTTGTATGAGGATTTTTCTTTTTGTATTTAAAATTTCAATATTTATAAACTATAGATTATACAAATCTTTATAAAATATTGAAATTTTAAATGCAAAAAGAAAAATCTTCATGACAAATTAAAAAGCATACTTTTTTATGTTATTCTTAAGTTCAAAGAATTAATACCGCAAGAGGATTCAGATTTCAAAATTCATCACTTTCGTATAATAAATTCTTATTGAAAAGTTATATTCATTTGTGTAACAATACATTCGCATTAAAAAATTGGCTTAATTGTTTAATTATGGGTCAACATATAAATTTGATTTAATTAGTTGACCAACCACCGCAATGGCATCTTTCAAGATCTACCTCACCATCATTATTATTAACGGTATATACTAAAATAATACATAGCACTTTCCGCAAACAATATCCCAACTCCTATAAAAGAAATTGCGGTATTTGGCAACGTCCAAGTTAGGCCTCCTGCTACCGCCAACCCTATCCCAGTAATTATTAGAACGATGATAAATAACATATTTTGAAACTTATTAAACAATCTTTCTGTTATTGCTGTTATTAATATGATCACAATTTGGGTTCCAAAGAGAATACATAATTGATAAAGGATAACATCTTGTTCAGGCTTGTAATTATTCCAGCATTTAATAAAAACTTGATCACCGTTTCGTCTTTGAAAGTAGCTCCAGACATTAAAACCAATGACAGAAAGTAAATTGATCACAACATAAACAAGATTGAGATAATGTTTCTATCGAAATAAATCAATTAAGCGACGCCACCACTAACATTTATAACAAATCAGTGAATAGTTCAATGGAAAATGTATACTGTCTAAGCAAACATACTGGTTTTTTCTTTTCTTCCGCAATTGCATACAAAAAATCACTTTTTCCTTGGTCAGTGAGTGTATCGTACCTGGCTCTTTGGGCCCTATTCATACCGTTATAGACTGCCAGAACCTGAGGATCAGTAGGGACACCATTAACAAAAGTATAAATACGCGCATCCATTTTTTACGGAATATTTTTTTGACGTGGGAATTGATAAAGAGGTCTAATTTGATATACGCACAATCAACTGGTCTTGTGACCGAAGTTCAGTCTTGTGACTTAATGATCAAGGTTATCGTCATTGGGATTGCTACCGACACCGCCTTATCGCACCGCAAATGACCAGCACTAACCTTAACGTCACCGCACGGCCAGCATTATCGTTAAGGTTAGGGTTAGAATTAGGAAATTAGATCACGTGTTGCAGTGTCGGTAGCAATTCCCTATCGTCATAAGCAGGGACACGGAAAATTATCACAAAAATATTTATTGACTATGGTCAAAATTATCGATTTATATTGATATGGCTAAATCGTCCAATCAGAATGCAATATTTTGAGTAACGTGATCTGAACAATTTTGTAGAATAACTATCGTACAAAAAAAAAAACATTTACAATGAAAGAAAAAAAACTTTTTTTTTTTTTTAAAAAAAAAAAACAAGAGTTCGCATCTAGCTTGTTAGCCTTCAAGGAAAAAGCTTGACAATTAAACAAAAAGTTAAAAAATTAAGTAAAAAGTCTTATAAGTTTGAAGATAAGGCCATACAAACTTAATTATTTGGTTTTCATAACATGATATTTTAAATTAGACCCGGCCGGCTGGCTTTTTTTTTAAGTTTTATATGTAAAAATTTTTATAAATACTATAGACTTTGACACGGAAAAACCAATTTATTAATTTTATGTGGAAGATAATCACGGTACACAAGTTTTCAAATCCAGCATTATTAAATATTGGTTAGTACTATTCATAATTCTGGCCGCAATATTGTGTAATGTTACACTACAGAAATTTTGGAAAATTATCGTCCCTGGTCATAACTTTTTTTTTATCACTGATTGGTCAGTCATATGACTAGCGATGCATTAATTTATATTTAGTTACCAATTTCGGGAGTGGACGTAGCTTTTCGACTTATAATAGAATCTTAGCAGATAACAGACAAAATTTGTCTGAAAATTCGATTAGCATGTTAATTTTTTTAAATTTTAATAAATAGAAAATTACTACGAATAACCACTGGTGATTATCACCAGTAATATCTGCTATAGTGCCGTGGCACCGACCAATCAGAATTTAGGATCAGGTGTAATCTAAAATTAAAAAATTGTTTTGATTCGACATTACACAAAAAGATACACCTGATCCACGAGCCACAAAAGTATTTCCTTAAAAAAAAATCGCATACAATTTTTTCGCATAATTTGAACCAATCGCATCGCATAATTTGCCATTTTTTTCGCATCGCACTGAGATCCCTAATCATCAGCCATAAAAACCTATGCTTTTAGGACGCGCCGACTTTTTTTTGACAAAATAAAATTAGGATCAAAATTTAAAAAACAAATAAATCTCTCTTCTTTAAAAGTTATTTTCACAAACGATACCTGAACGCGAATTATACTTCTATAACGCAATCTGGTTTTATTAAAAATTTATTCAATTTCTAATCAATACTTCTTAGCTCTGATCACCTACTTACGAACCTATAACAAGGCGTCGTACCGTAGTTTTCTCGAGCTTAATCGAGATGTAATAATTTCTTCCTTGTCTGTGAATTCTAACTGGAAAGAGCTTAACAATTGTTGGGTCGCCAATTTTTTACGAGAAACAGAAAGATTAGATCAAGAAAATTTTGTAGTCCTAAAAGCGAAGGTGCGTTTTCTTTTTATTTTGCATAGGGAGGGTAACTCCTAGTAGAGTCACATATGTGCCTTGGCTAGGAGAATTACTGGGCTTGTTTGCTTGGTATCCACTCCAAGTCTTCAGTTCAGGCACCCAAACTTTGTTGTTGGTAGTGTTTGGACCTGAGCAGAAATTGTTATAATATAATAATTTACTCGGAGCCTATTGTGGATACTATTGTGAATACTATTAATCGAGAATGAGATGAAATAGGAGAGTGGAACATTATAATAATATTCTAAATTATAATGATTCACCACTGTCAAGACGTTCCGTAATATCATCTCCATACCCTCCTTGAAAGAGGGTGTTCCATTACCACTTCCAACACCACCAAGAAGTGAAAGTTCTCCCGTTCAACAACTTTTAAGTAGTCGAAGAATTGCCGGACAATTTCTGCTCAGGTCCAAACACTAGCTTTTGGTAAAGGATTGTTGGTTCTGAAGGAGAGATGACCTTTCTTTATCACTAAATAAAAAGTTGATGCACTGTTAACATTTCTTCTCATAATAGGTAAAATTTGAATGTTTATGCAAATGGTTGACGCCATACTGGGATGGTATAATTAAGGAATATAAAAGGGTAAGAATAATAAACTTGTCAATGGTTGTATGTATGTATATTGTTCATTAACTAATTAAAACTTTTACTATAGAATTTCGCTTTAAAATGTTTTGCATATAAAATTATAAATCCAGAACAAATTTCCGAAAATTACCAAAATCAGACCATTTGTGAAATATGTAGAAACGAAATATCTCATCAATTTCTTGAACCGATAACCATTTTAACATGTAAACACATATTATACCAAAAATGCCTTGAACGCAACTATAGTTGCTGCCGTAATTGATTTTCAGAAAAAATGCAATTACGGCATTACGGCATTATGGGCATTATGGGCATTATGGTTTACGGCATTCAGGTGCTTTCGGTATATGTACGGCATTACGGCATCTGCCGTAATTCAGCAATTACGGCAGCAACTATAAACGCAACCAACTTTTTTTCAAACCACATTGTCCATTCTGTCAAGATTCAGAAGAACAAGACTATTATGATGATAGCGTTGGTAGTTTTGGTAATGATGCTAGTAATGGCATTGGTTCCGGCTCTGATGTTGGTACCGGCCTTCATCCTCCTGTCAGTTCTGAAGCTGTTAATAACAATGAGCAAGATAGTGTTTGTACTCGATCAAAAAAATACTACCGGGTTACCCGACGGGTGAACTCGCAGGTTACCCGGGTAATCGACGGATATACCCGGTATAAAAGTTTATATTATATCGATATTTTGATTTTTTTTATCTGTACCAGTCTGATGTAATAATATCTGAGACCGTAATATTAACCAATATATTTTAGCAAAAAAAAGTAACTGCAACAGATTAATTTTATATCTAAAGTAACTATAGCTGTAATTAATTGACGACAGTAGTAACTATTTTTTCTTGATATTCAATATTTAATGACTTTTTTTTATTTATTTATAGAATGAAACAAAAAGATATTAGGTTCATCGTATGACGTTACTAAAATGACTAGGGGTGTTCTCAAGCACCTCAATCATAGCTAAATTAATGGATCGGAAGATCAGTTTTTAATTAGTGAAAATTATTTTTCGCTGTTTTTCACTAATTAAAAATTGATCTTCCGATCCATTAATTTAGCTATGATTGAGGTGTTTGAGAACACCCTAGCATTCTTAATCAACTGAATTTTATTGATTGTCAAAAATCTGCAGATATGAATAATCTAGACGGAATATTCTGGCTTGGTTATTGTTACGAATATGGAATTGGAGTTAAAAAAGACGAAAATCAAGCGTTTATTCATTATAAAAAATCTGCTGATATGAATAATTCTAACTGAATGTATCAAGTTGGCTATTGTTATTATTCAGGAATTGGTATTGAAATAGACAAGCATAAAACATTTATATATTATCAGAAATCAGCTGAGGCAGGTAATTCTAATGGAATTTTTAAAACTGCTATTTGTTACAGATATGGAATTGGCGTGGAATTTAATTTGGAATAAATACTCTGATGGATTTTGAAGTAGGCTAGTTGTTATTAAATTACATACCAACTTTCTAATATAATATCTATTAGAATATTTGTAATTGTTTATTTATTTCCTGCTTTTTTTTAATTACGCTTTTACAAATTTTGAATAAAAGTATCTCGATAATGTCTTTTTCTATTTTGAATTCTACAAATTAATAGGATTCGAAAATGATCTTAAACATTGAAATTGACTTGACCGTTATTGAGATATCTTTACTTAAAGTTTTAAAAACAAGCGGTTTTAATTTAAACCTTTAATAATCAATAGAAAAATCGGATAAAAAAAATTTGTTTAATATAATTTTTGATTCCTGGATTCTTATGTGATGTGTAAGTTATTAAATTTGTTAATCAAAGTAATTTGAAAAGCGTAATAATTACTCTTACTGCATAAGTCTTAATCAAACCTACTTTCGCTAAATTCTCAATCTATCAATAAACTGACAGTACGTTTATTGTTATCTTGTCTACATGATTTATACCCTTAATTTGTCTAGCCAACCTGGAAGTATTAAGTCTAGCCGTGGTATTCGTATTCCAATTATCAAAGTAGTTGTAGTTAGGTTGTTATTAAGTCCAATTGTCTGAAGTACAATAGCAATTGTAATTGCAGTATAAGATACCCAAAGTAGTATTAACCAGGTCTCGGAACCAGAAATAAAGGAGTAAATAAACTCCAATAAAGAGAATTGAGAAAGATAACAGTAGTAGTGGAACCAAGATATACCAAACTATAATAATACAAATGAATATATGTTCTACTTGGATTCTGTATGATCGCTCGCATTTTTGTATAGTATTCCATAATACGAATCTTT